TATATATATATATATATATATATAATGTGATTTAAACACATTCATTTACACGTTTAATTACATATTTCGTATTCTGCTATTTACATGATTCAATACCCACATAAATATACACAGGTATTTATGGCTGACACGGAAGGTTCCGGTTTAGTAATATATGACTCGTCTAGAAAGCTTATGTGCAGAGTCGAATCTGATTACATGAAACCAACTAATCCCCATTTCTCCGTAGCAGGCCAAAATTTTACTCATGAGGGCGGTATTTACAGCGTGACCGTCAGTGGCGGTGGCAAGTACTTGCTTTTTAACACAAAGACTTTTGTTTCAATTATATACACATTATTATATACACATGGCGGGTGTTAAAAATTTTAATTTTAACTTTAAACCGACATTTACCACATTTCCATTTGCAATAATTTTCTTATTTAATATTTATACATCTATGCTAAGCATGCTAATAACAAATCAAAAAACATAGAAAATTTTCTTGCAAATATAATCAGTAGCATTTTGTTGTTTCCTGTTATCTTTTCATATTTCTTTTATAAATGTTTTAGATCTTTATTATGCTCCTATAGCGGGAAAGGAACTTTATAAAATAAAGATAAGGACGCTACTAAAATGTCCAAATAAAGAAAGGGCCAATAAACAAAGTAAACTCGCGTTTAAATTGTCAAGTCAAACAGGACCGATGACGTCGGTGAAAAATGTAATATTTTATAGCGACATTTCTAATATGTCTCTTTTAGGCAAGAACGTCTATTGGAATTGGAGAAAGCCGGTAATATATCTGATCGCAATTATTCTTTACATATTAATTGATGATAAATTATTTTGATTTCTATTAATAATTATATCTAATTGTTAGTACGATTTTATTGTAATATAAAATGTTACTTTTAAGGTGGTGCTCGCACAAGATTCTGAAAAATTGCAAACTATACATGGGCTGAAATATTCGGCTCCTTGGGACCAACTACTATGTTTTACAGATAGATATCAGCTTTCTGCATTAGATAAAATGAATCAAAACAAAATCAACTTCCGCTATTTTGAAATGAACTTAACAGAAATACGGGCGAAAACAAATAATTTGTTTCAATAACTATATTAAGTCAGCTTGATCCTCAATATTTTAACATATTTTAACGTATATTT